ACTAGAATGGTGCCTGGGATAGAGGGGTTGTCATACAAGAAGAGGTTAAGATCTCTCAAATTGTTTTCTCTTGAAAAAGTAAGAGTTAAGAGGGGATCTGACTGAGGTTGTCATACAAGAAGAGGTTAAGACCTCTCAAATTGTTTTCTCTTGAAAAAGGAAGAGTTAGAGGGGATCTGACTGAGGTGTTTAGTATTGTAAAGGGCATTGATAGTGTTGATGCATTGTGTTTTTTCATACTTAATGGTGAGAATGACAGTTTTATTTTCCTAACAGGTTGGTTGGACTTTGAAATGGGTTATCTTTGGATGTTGTGGAAGCAGTAAATTTAAGTGAGTTTAAGAGAAAGCTTGATAACTATATTAATGATAAGGCCTGGCTTTTAGGATTGTTTTTTTAAATAGTTTAGTTTAGAGGATAGAACAGTCTAGATGGATGAATAGGTTCCCTATTGCTACTAAACATTATTTTATAAGATAATGAATCCTGAAAACTGTACAAAGCTACACAATTTGTCAGAGTTAGCCAGTGCTTTAGTTCCCTTAATGGCATTTTTCTTTTAAGTTAATGGTATGTTATTATGACTTGTTTGCAGTAGTTAACAGCTTTGTTGCTCAGTCACTTTTGCTGCTAGTGTGTAATTTATCTGTTTTATATTTATTTAGCTGTTCCATTATTTTAACTGTTCACTTAGCAGATTATTTTCATGCTAGTAATGGTTTTGATTATGCAGTGTTTTCATTACTTTTTGGAAACAACCCACACTTTTCTGTCTGAAAAATGCTTTTCAGATGGAGACTTATAAAACCATACATCACTTATTGTATATTTTGTTTCTGCTTCAACAATAAATCACACAAAAATTCTTGTTAGGTATTTTCATAAGTAGTAGTAGGCATTTGTCTACCTAGAGAGAAAATAGGTTTTTTTGTGCACATTTTTAAGGGTTTTAGTCATTCAGGCAATTTTTACAGTGGCTTAAAGTCCCATCTGGGATGTGCACTGACAAAGACATTTGTTACATTTGAAGATGGTGTGCTGAGGTGGAATGGTTAGTATTTCTCAGCCTCCTGTGAGTTCTTTTCTGTACTGCCTTATTTGCTACCCTTGATTTGCAATCTCTTAGCCCACTGCTGACAGGAGAGCACCAAGCACTCCTCTCCTCAGCAAGTGTCTCCCATTCATTGAGACTGATTTTAGGTGATGTTAAATCTCTTTTTTTCACTCATCTTTAAATTGAAAATGGGGCATCCTGGTGGTTTTTTTCAATTGCTAGCTCACCATATAACAAGTCTTTGGGAATGCAGCTGACACTGGCTAAGAACCTGGTACATAGTGGGAATGCCATCCAGCTGTAGTACCTCTGAGTTTGTCATTTTATCCTTCCAGGTGATGGCCAATATTCTCTTAATGCAGAGCATGTGAAATGTGTTTAATCGCTTCTCCTGCATAGCATATAAGATCCATTTTTCACTGCCTTATAACAGTGTACTAACCACACATGCTTGATACATCTTGATTTGAGTTTTGGTTCTTAGTTTCTTGTTTTCCACACATGTTTGTTAAGCATGTTCATAACTAATACAACCTTACCTATTCTACTGTCCAAATTGCTTTTCATTTTATGATGGTAGAACCCAGATGTGCAAATGAGTTCACTACTTCAAGTTCTTTGTTTCCAATTTTGATGTGTATCTGTGTTTCAATATTTTGCCCAAGGATCTGCAGTTTCTTCATACTGATGGTCAGGCCAAACTCTTTGCAGGCTTTTGCAAGGTGATTGATAAGTGTCTGCAAGTCATTCACTGAATGGGCTACAAGAGTGACATCAGCAAACTTTCTTAGCATGATGCAAAGAATCTTAGTTTTGTCCCTGAGATGTGAATGGTTGAAGAGTTGAACACTGGGTTGAGTGTGCAAATAAATTCCTTCAATTACTCCATTGAATGCACATTGGAGCAACAAAGAGAAGAAAATACTAAATAAGGTGGGAGCCAAAACACGTTTCTGTTTAACTCCAATGACGATGACCTACTTACAATGTAAGTAGGTGTGTAACTCTTGTGAAAGTTCATTACAAAAACGAAACTAGTGGATGAAATTGTTTTAAATTTGACATGAAATGTCCTAAATGTGTGTAGTTTCTGAAAAATAAGATATTAAATTTGATTTTATCCACTATTTATAAAAAAACATTCTTTATTTAATGTAGTTATTTGCACTCGGACTCTGAATAGTTCACATGCAATGTGATTTTCATTTTGAGTATAAAAATACTGTTTGTTATCTTACAGTTTTCATATTTCATTTGCATAATCTCTAGAACCTCCTGAATGAATATCAAAAGTTTTTAAGGTAAATATTTATATTTATTTTCCATTTTCTCTACTATCTCACTAACTAGTTATCATCAACATATGGTGCAATGAGATGTTTAAAATCAAAAATGGAAATATATACGTATCTCTTAGCACTTTGTAGAAGTCTTTTGAAACTTGTTTTTTTAAATATGCATAATTTCATGTTTTTGTCTTTTCACTTGTAGTTTATTTTTAATTTTCCTTTCAAATTCTTTGTCTTTTATTCTTGATGCCAGTATCTAACATGTCTCCGTGGTGCTCTATTGTTATTATAGGACGACACTCATGCACAAATTCTTTTACTAATGCTCACACACACAAATGATGCCATCTTGTTTAGACATTTTTACAAGCCAAGTTACAAGTTAAAAATATAAAAGTCATAAATTTTTCCTTATCCTTTGGCATTGGCTGTCGATGCTCTCAACCAGGACTAGTCTCACCTTTTCCATATGCATATTCTCCTCTTTGACTTCTTCCTCAGATCATTGCCTTGATATGTGACACTCCTTTCCAGTTCCTACTGGTGGCACCTCTTTGGTCAGTTCAATCTTTGTTACCTCTGCTTCTTCATTTAACATACAGACTCCCCTTTCTTTATCATATGTGCCCCTCTCTATTGTTTCAAACTCCCACATCCATTTTTCATCCAGATATGTATCATTCTTACATATTTATATGTGAGATTTGTCTTGTCCATTGCCCTTAGGGCTGGACTTTCCAGTTGTGTAGCCTTTTACTTGTACCGTCTGTCAGTGTAAGTGGTGGGTTTTTCATCATTGGTTCATCTGTCTCTCTCTTCTTCTCATCTGCCTTACTGTGAACTACCTTTCTGACTTTTTCACTTGGCTGTTTGACCATCATTTGTTAGTCTCCACCATTGCTGGCTATTGGGTGCACATAAACACTACATTTCACCTTTACCATTATCACAGGGTGTTTTCCTTTTATGTCCTCTTCACTTTGTTCTGATCCTTCCATTTTCATTGTCCACCTTGCCAAACTTTCATGCCTGACTGAGACCTCGATGTGGTAGTTCATGCACTAATACATGCTCTGTTCAAGCTGTTGTTTTCTTGCTCTTTATACCACATTTCTCCTAAGACTTGTTTCCTCCTCCTCACCTGTGGTCACCATCATTCAAATACCTGTGCTATTGGTGCTTCTTACACTCTTTTTTTGCCATACTTATTTACTCCCATGGAGTACTTTCTGAAGGGAGCTCATCTAGGTTTAAATTTTGCACCTATCCCTCCAACAATTCAATGAGGGATTCTAGCTGCTCTGTGTATGGAGATGAGGTATTGTCTTGGAAGCTTTGTTGCATTAACATATAAATTTATGCTTCTGAAAAATAATTAAGTATAATTGTACAAGACAGTGTATCAAGTTTGAGCTACTTATTTTGCATGCATAGACCATGTGCCAACCCTCCACCAATAGGAGCCCGACACACTATGAGTCAGATGTGTTTCTCACTTGCTTTTGATTTTCAATACATTATTATTTGTATTTTACTACAGCCTTTTCCCTCCTTTAAGGGATCTGGTCTCTAGTGCTCACCTGTCTGAAGCAGTGAGCAAACGTTTTCACAAACATGCCATAAACCTCATGATTCCTGACCAGTCGGGGTTTTACTCTCAACATTTTGTTGTCCCCAAGAAAACTGGGGATGGGAGACCAATCATTGACCTCACCCCTCTCAATCAATTTCTAGATCCTCCTCATTTCATCATGAAGTCATTTCTGCCCTTCCATGGATTTTCACTCCTTGTCTGTGGATAAACAAATTCAACATAGTGGATGCATATCTTAACATTTCCTTCTCTCTCTTTCTTTTTCTTGCTTCTTTGGTTCATCCATAAAGAGCATGTTTTCCAGTTCCAGGCTCTTCCATTTGGGCTTGCCTCAACCCCATATGTGTTTTGTTGTATAGCCAGAGCTTTTGCTTGCCATCTTCATTCATTGGGTCTCCAGTCTCTCATCATTATATGGACAACTGGCTTCTTCTGGAGAAATCCATCCTTTCTCCTACCCAGTACTTGGCTCACTTGGGAGTTTTCTTCAATTTCTACCTCAGTTGGGCCAAGCTTTCTCCACTACCTCCTCAGGATATGGAACAGTTGGTTGTCAAGGCTCATTTCTGTCCTTCTCTGCCAACTCGAGAGGTTCCATTTCTTTTGGGGAAGTTGGCTTCCTTGGAAGCTGTAGTGCCCCTCAGTTGTGCTCATGTGCATTCCTTGCAGTGAGAATTTCACAATCGATGAAACTTTAACTCAGATCCCTTGGCTGTTCATTGGTCAATTTCTCATTTCCTCCACCTTCTGAGGGGTAAGGTGATTATGGTGCATTCCGACAACTCCACAGTCACTTCATACATCACCAAACAAGGGGGCACCAAATCCAAATCTCTTTGTTTTCTAACTCTGGAGCTCATATTCTTCATAGGCACCAGATACAGCTCTTTGCTTGTCTTTTTCTGGTGCTTTGAACCATATTCTAGATCGTTTATCAAGACCACACAATGTCCTTCCCATGGAGTGGTCTCTAGATCCTCAGGTATTCTGGTGGCTATGCTCTCTTCTGGGTACTCTGAACATAGATGCTTTTGCCACTCATATGAACAACAGATTGCCATCTTTCTGGTCTTTGTTTCCTCATCCTCAGGCATTAGGTGTGGATGTCTTCAGATAGGAGTGGAGGAACCTCCACATCTATGCCTTCACTCCTATATGTCTCCTCCTCAAAGCTATTCCTGTCATCCACACCACTCTATGTCATGTTCTCTTGGTGGCTCAGTTTTGGCTGATTCAGCTTTGTTTCCTTCTCCAAGTGTTGTCTCCTTGGCTCCTACCTCTGTCTTCATCTCTCCTTTGTCAGCCTCATTTGGGCATCTTCCATCCCACCATTCCCACTCTCCAACTTCCTTTTGTGGCTCCCGGTCTCATTTGTTTATACCCTGGAACCCTTTT